TCCTGAAAAAGTTAGCTGACAGCTTCTGCCAATTTTGTTGTTGCTGCTGTTGTGGATGAATGGACTTGTGGCATGCCTTAATTACCATTTTGCTTTAAAACTATAATTAAGCTAAGTCCAGAAAATGTACTGCTATTTGCATGCATAATAAGCTCCAACAATTGATAAAGAGATTCCATACAACCTTTATATTGCCTTAGCAATAACTACCTAGAAGTGATCTGACAGGCATAAAGAAAACCTTCACTTTAAAATGCCATCACTTATCACACATTAGTTCTTAGCAAATGAATAAATTCCCTACTTGAAGCTAGCTACAACTCATTTTAGGAAATGGAACTAAGGAAATATTCTATTTCTTCATTTTAAAGTTCTCTGATCAAGGCAACTTAAAAGATTCAAAAGTGTCTGATGATCTTAATCTAGATCTTCAAAGAGATTCACTATGCAAATTTACTTATTCCTTTAGTCATTCTTATTTTCAAAATGGGTTTCACACAATAGTTGACACCCTTCAAATACAAAAGTCCTTGTTTACAAGCCATAAAAACAAAACAATGGAAGAAACACTGGAAAACAATACTCAATTACTGTTTAATTTTGGATCTAAATTCATAACAAAGTAAAAGAAAAACAGCATCAGTTACAATGCCTTTTTATCAAAAAGTAAAATAGCAAAGAAAGCAAAATATCTAACATAGTCTTAAAAAAAATTACATAAAATTTTCAACATCATTTCAATAGTAAATGCAGCAGCCAACTTTTTAATGCCATTTCTGCAAGTTTCCCTTTGCAAGAACCTAACATAATGCACAATTAAAGGACTATCCTCTAGGAAAATAGTACTTTATTCTAGGTATAAGAAGCAAGAAGAGTCATCATCTTTTATTATCTGGCCCTAATGGACTGTACTTAATGTATTTTTAAGTCATTTTACCAAAAACAATGTACAGAAGAAAAAATAGACATTGAAAAACAACTTTATTAGAAGTTTAATAAGCAGTGAAGCACAGCAAACCCAAATACTCATTCCACATTTCCCTGGTTTTTAAGTTACAAATTACCAAAATGGGCTACACTCTGAATACAACTGTTAACCAGCTGTCACTGATGAATGTGGAACATATCCATCTTTTAAATCTGAGTCTCTAATAGTTCCTAGTTTATCATTATTTCTGATTCTTTTTCTCGCAATTTCATTGTCAAAAACCAGACTCAAAACCTTGAAATTTTTGAACTTTTAATGGCTCATAATTTGTTGGAGAAACAAACTATTTGTTTGCAAGAACAATTTCAGTTTTAGACTTAAACACTTTATTTAAAATGGTCAGTCCAATTCACTTATTTCTATGCCTACTGCCTTCCAAAATCTCCTTTGCATATAGATCCACCTTCAGCAATATCCATTTACAAACTGCATCAAATTAAAAAGCACAACTACAAAAAAAGCAATAGAGGCATACATTCTTTTAACATGTTGAAGATTTTGTTACAAAATATTGTTATTAATTCTTCCTTATTGAGTGGCTAAATGGGTTATACTTTCCTTGAGCCTTAGAAATAATACGGTTCGATCAACTTTTTAGTTTGAGAAATTCACTTAAGAGAGTATCTGAAGTTTCAGTTTGAGATTTTGTTTATAAAATCAACTTCACCATAATCAGAGTTTTTAATTCTACTATCTGTCTCTTTGCACTCAGTTTTGGATTCTTCCATTAATTATGAAACTTATCCCTCCCTCAATATTCTTTGTCATTAGGACAATAAATGAAAAATTATGCATTACCAATTCCTTTCAATAAAAGCAAAAAGTTAACCATAAAGATGGGGCCTTCAGTCTCCCTTTACAGTTGTTGAAAAATAATCTCTTGGATAATGTAATATGAAAACTGCAGGATAATACAATTGCAATCGAGGATGCACAGGGCAATTCTGGCCCACAACCTATTTTTGTATGATCTGGAAGCTAAAAATGATTTTTACATTTTTAAAGAGTTGTTTAAATATGTCATAAAAACCATATGCAGCCCTCAATCAGCCCTTACTATCTTACCCTTCATAAAAAGTTTCCAACCTTGGGGCCTCCCTGGTGGCACAGGCAGTTGCGTGCAGCGCTGTGAAGCTGTACACAGCCTCTGCAGCACTGGTTCGATCCCCGCTCTGCGGAGCAGCCCACATGGCACGGCAGACCTCTCCTGGATCGCCCACTGCTCCCATCAGCACCATATTTTGTCAGTCTGCCTATTCTGCTCCCTGCTCTGTCTCTGGTGAATCTTCTCACCCTCCCGCGCATCTGGCCTGTACCCCAGTTCTTGTATAAATAAATCAATCTTCAAAAAAAAGTTTCCAACCTTGGCTTAGAACAATTCTATCACTCTTCCATTTCTTGTTTCAGCCTTTTTTATTTTCAAAGTTGATAATAACTGATGAGTAATGATGAAATAATTCCTTGGTGGAAATAACAAAATATGTGAAGATACAGGAAAAATAATATCACTAACACTTTCAAATGTATCACAGATTTCTAAAACAGTCAAACAGCCAATATGGTAATTGTAAAACAGAGTTTTAAAAATACGTAAGTGTTCTCTTTTATTCTTTGGAAGACCTCTACAAAAATTTAAGAACTCATGAAATATCAATCTTTATAATTGTTACTAGTGCCCCAAAAAGGAAACTGACAATGTAAAAGTGAATTAACCAGTTAAAATATTTTAGGTGTGCATGGCAGCAAAGGGCTAAAATACCAAAAATAATTCACTATGAAGGGCATTTGGCTATGATGACATATGCTAAAAAGCTCCATAGAAACAGTTTAAGAATTATGCCTGCTTAATCTTCTTAGTATTGAATATATTTACAGATCATCTATATATTTCTAAAAGTTTTTTTTTTTTGCTACCAAATTGAGTTTTATTTGCCATAAGTACACTAAATAGTGGCTATCATCTTTATTATGATATTACAATTTTTTAGCAGTTACAATGGTGAGGAATCTGACTATATTGGTAATGTAAGTACTTTTAGGTCAGAAATATGATTAGTATTTGTTTAAATGTAGACAACATATTGGGTACATATACCAAAATTGTCTAAGTACCTACACTGTATATTTTTAACTGTATAGTTCTAAAAGTTTTTTGCTTCATTTCTACTGATATCCAATAAGCCTAAAATTACACTTTTTTACTAATAAATATTCTACAAGCTGTGACTCAAACATTTATCAAAAAGAAATATCTTAAATCAATAAAAATGATTTATCTGACACTGTAATATGTCTAGAAAAGGGATAACTACTATGTACTTAAATAATATTTACCAAGAATCTAAAGTTCATCAGAGTGCTCTATAGACTCTAAAGAATATAAAATCAGGAAGCTTATACCTCAATGGTGCAAGTAACCTTTCTGAACTGATTTCATTATCTGGATGATTTTAAATATCGCTTCTAGAGCTGTTTGTCTGGAGCTTTACAAATGTAGTGACCATTTCTTAAGCACCAACTATGTGTCAGGCACCATAAAGTATAATGCATTTTCCATACTTTATCTCTAATACTCCCAAAAGTACTTGCACTGTAGGTATTATCGTACCCATTCTACCTGAATTCTTAGGTTAAATATCTGGGTCAAGGTTACACAGCGAATAACAAATATCACTGAGATTCAAGTCTCTCAAGCTGCCAAAGTCAATGCTCAGTCCAGTTCTTTTTCTTATGATATGAATCGTAACTGATGTTTTTATCCATTACTTCACAATACACCATTCAAGAAAGCAAGTCAAGATAGTAAAATGTCCCTATTCTGGCTCACTATCTCCACTTTGTGTAAGTAGACTAATAGCAACATATTGAGCTTTTGCTGTGCTTTCTAATCCCCTTGACAAGTTTAATTCAAGTTTATAGTGAAAACTAGAGTAAGTTTAAAAGTTTCTTCCTGTCTGGCAACTGAGCTTGATGAAAACATGAAGAGACATTATGTCACGTGCAGAAAAAAATTAAAACTATGACATTAATATATGGCAGCACACACAAATAATATATGAGCAGAATTGTAAAGATAGTCAAATGATAATTTATAACAAATGCTAACATTCTTAAAAATTCTTCCTCGGTGCTAAGACTTTTTTTAATGGGTAAGTTAACATCACTGTCAGAAGACAGAAGGGCTAAGCAACTATGCCAGATTAGACACTAAATAAGCATTATGACAATGCAATGCATGATGTTGAGTGGATGCTAGTAGAGGGAGGGGAAACTATTACAAAGGGCATTATTGGGATGATTGGCAAAACTTTAATGCAGACTGTATATCAGACAGGAGTATTGTTAATGTTAAATTTGCTGAATTTGATAATTATATTATGATTAAGTAAAAGAATATCCTTCTTCTATAAAATATATACTTATGTATTTAGGAGTAAAGGAGCATTATAAATCTGTGTTTCTCCAAAGTTTTAGGGGAAAAAATTTGTATCTCCAGGAAATAACAAAATGTGGCAAAATTGATGAATGTGGTAAAAAATATATAAGGACATCTTTATATAATTCTTGTATTTTTTCTCTAATTTTAAAATCATTTCAAATAAAGTGGTTTAAAATACCTAATGCAAAAGTAATTGTTAAATGTCACAACTGCTACTTTAAGAATTTCATTCCAAATTTAACACTACCTTACAGTAGGGCCTTGGCCAAAAAATAAAATAAGGTAGGACCTCACCATAAGGTACCTGGTGTACTCTAAAGGCCTGAAGTAAAAAACAATAGTCTTTTTTATAACAAAAGTACTCTAGAAAACTCTACCACATTCATTATTCCCCTTTATTCACATAAATATATATGATCCTTCTTTCTTATACCAGTTGATTTGAACAACAACTTCTTAATTCTCCTATTGAAATCAATCACATATCAAAGAGCTACAGACATAATAAAAAATATTTGTAAAGTTCCACATTTGTGTCTTTACTATATCTGACCTAATGTCCTACTCCCCCACCTGCTCTTCCATTCTTGGCCTCTTCTGTTTCCCATTCTCCACATAATTCTCCACTGTAGATGTCACAGGAATTCTCCCTGACTGAGGCATTGAGCCATTTCCTCATTGTCTCTTGAAACACTTTACAAATAGTTAACCTACAGAGAAAAGGAAGGTTTTAAGATGAACTTTGTGTGTGGGAAGGGGTATGTGGATGTGGCTTAAACAAACTCTTCAAATAGTATATGAATTTTTGAAATATTTCCCTTTAACAGATATATGCACATGCATAATTCTTCCAGTTACACATTTCTGGTAAGAGAACTTGCTTCAACCTTCCAAATTCCGAATCAAAATGATATAACTTAATTTAAAAGATGCTGTACTCATGTTCTTTATATAACATGAACCAAAATTTCTTAAGCTACTATTATAACATGGCCATCTTATTATTCACAACTATTAAGATTTTAACAGATGTTTAATTTATTATGCCTGGACACCAGCACTCAGTTGACCTACTATATGAATGCTGAAAAGATTTTGAAGTTTTCTTATGCATCTTACAGTTTAATGACACAACTCAGGTAAGACATTTTACTCTAAAATTTCAGAAAGTACTGTGAAAAAACTAAAAAAGTACTGAGAGCAAACAAGCACAAAAACAAAGCACTAAGAGATCTGACATTACAGAACAAGAACAAAATGGATTCTAATTCTAATTACAGATAACTTTTAGATGAATGAAATGAACACACAGAGATTAGTATCTCTCAATTAAAACAATTAAAGATGCAATCCATTGAGAAAATTGCCAGTTCTAACTGGACCTAATCATGAAATGCTTCTCTGCACCAGGTTAAGTTAAAAAAGTTTGAGTAAATAATTACTCAAAGAGATAAATATCTTTCATTCAAAATAAATCACCATAATGTGAATTCTGCCCTTCAGGTTTTTGTTAAATTAAATTCAGAATTTCATTAAGTGGACTGACATACCAAGGAAAACTAGAAATGAGGCCTATAAAAATGACCAAATCCAGTTTTGTGTTTGTCAAAAATAGATGTTTACTTTGTTAAAATTAATTTATAGTACACTATGAGAAGTTAATGATGCATATCACAATCCCTAAAGGAACCACTAAAAATCTAATGGAGGTAGTACGAAACTAATAGTCAACTAAAGAAACATGGAATTAAAAAAAAAAAATCCAGAAGAGGCCCCTTCCCCAAAATAAAAAAGCATGATAAAAATTTAAACCTATCCACATCAATAACATTAACATAGAAACACTTCATTTAAAAGGCAGAGGCTACGAGGTTTTTTTTTTTTTTAAAGGCAACAAACTATATTCTGTTTGTATATCGTACAAAAGATATACAGATTTATGTTTATATAGAAAAAAATAGAGCCCGAGGATACTAACCCTAAGAAAGCTAGAGAAACAATATAAAATTTAGGAAAAAAATTTCAAAACAGGAGCATTACCAGAGGTAAAGGCATTTCTTACTAAGAAAGGGCCAATTCATCACTCCTGCACATTCACAAATAAAGAGAAAACAACTGTTAGGCTTTTTATTTTCTTTTTGCTGAACTGCACTCTTACTACTTCTATTCAAAGTGATAGGAAGTTTATCAAATATTCAATATATGTTACCCATTCCACACAAAATCAATATACAAACGGATGTAGAGAAGAGACTGTCATACGTTTCTGGTGGGAATGCAAAAATGGTACAGCCACTTTGGAAGACAGTTCGACAGTTTCTCAGAAACATCCAGCAAGCAGGCGCCTGAGCATTTACCCAAAGGACTTGACAGTACCTGAACACACAAAAACTGCACATAGATATTTACAGCAGTTTTATTCATAATTGCCAAAACTTGAGCATAACCAAGATGTCTTTCAGTATGTGAATGGATAAATAAAATGTGGTACAGCCTCTCAATGGAACATTATTCAGCCAGCAAGTTCAAAAAGAAATGAGCTAGCAAGTCATGAAAAGACATGGAGGAAATATCAAGTGAAAGAAGCCACTCTGGAATGGCTAAATATTGTACAATTCCAATTATATAACATTCTGGAAAAGGCAAAATTAGAGAGACAACAAAAAATCAGTGGCTGCCTTGGGGTAAGGGTATGAATAGGCAACTACACAGAATAAAGGAGATTTGGGGGGCAGTGAAAATACTTTGTATGATACTACAATTTTGGATCTATATCACAGATTTGTCCAAAACCACTGAATGTACACCACTGAGAGTGACCCCTGAGGTAAACTGAACTTCGAGTTGTTATGATGTGCAATGAAGGTTAAAGAGTTATGACAAATGTAGCACTCTGGTGAGCGAGGCTGAGAATGGGGAAAGCAATGCACATGTGAGAAACTGATGTACTTTCCTTTCAATTTTGTAATCTAAAACTGTTCTTAAAAAAAATTTAGTACTAAAAAATATAATTGTTCTTATATATACTAGCCAAAAGGCGGTGGGGGGGGGGGAGCTGGAATAAGGAATAGGTAATCAAGCTGTAACTTATAAGCAAAATGAATACTATACTGTCATTCAAAACAAACAGAAAAAAAGTACCATATCCTTCACATCAGTGTTTCTGAAAGAAAACTGTCAACTTTTCCTTTTAAATAAATATAAAAATTTCATCTTCTATTCCCCATCCAGTCCATCTGAAGATCAGACTGTGTCTCACTTTACCTGATTAATAGGAAAAGAAGGAAGGAAAAGAAGGGAAAAACTAAACATTAATATTCTTTAAACACAGCAAAATTTCACAATCCATTAAAAAATGACTAGCTAAAAATGTCTAAAAAATAGCTGTTACAAACACATTAATTATATATATTATATATAAAATAATAGGAAGGAATTTGACCTTAGTTTTCACCCTAAATTTACTTTGGAAGGGGAAAAAATCCATTATACTTAGAACAGTGAACTAAAAATCAGAGTATCGAGATTGCAATCCCTGTTCTATCTTAGGAACATTCAAACTTTTTAGCTCTCAAGAGTCTCAATAGTAAAATTAAGGAGATTATTTTTAGGGCCTTCGAGTCTAATATTCCATAGTTTATTCTGTTGTCATACTTGGCAAGAATATGTTCTACTTGTTTTTCATATAGTACCAAGTACACTGTACCTTTATCATGACTCTCTAAACACTGCCATGACAATCATGATCCATTATCCACATTCAGTACCCTTTGTCCAGGCCTCCTATACCATTTGTTCTAAAGGCCATTTTAATCCAGGAATTCAGTTCCACTTCTAGGAGATTCTTCTACAGAAATACAGTGCTAGAAAATATGTACAAAGATTTGTGTAAGAATATTGTAGCATTGCTAATAAAACAATAAAAAAAAGGAAACAACCCAAATTTCCATTGATAAGGGTTAGCTAAGTAAATTATGGTATTGCATACAACATAAAACTGTTTAAAAGAGGCAGATCTATAAACACTGCCTGAAAGTTAGCCAATTGTCTTCTCTGAGCAAAATATTAAACTTCTCTGAAACCCAGTCTCTTGAAAACCAGAGGCTGGTAATACCTACCTCAAGTGTTTTTTAACGATCAGGTAGATTAGATAAACGTGAAGCCTTGCACCTAGCCCGGCATCAGCAGATATTTAATGTGGGTCTTTCTGTGTTTCCTTTGCCCTTCAGTCACTATAAAATCTTTCCAACTGGCTTTCTGACTCTAATCTCTAGATTCTTCAAGCAATCTCAGACAATAATTTTCCCAAATCATTATTTTAAATCTATGTTCTTGCTCAAACACTTGTCGACCCGAAAAAATGTACACCCCACATGACAATCACGCAACAGCGCTACCTGACCTGTAAAACCTGACCCCGCATACCTCCCAAATAGATGCTTATCAAGCCACTCTTCGAAGTTTCCTTCGCACTGTTGTAGACACAACGAACACAACCACTTGTGACTTTAACACTCTGAATGAAAGTCCCTGCTCCCACTTCTGTCCCATCCACGCTATTCACGCCCTAAGTTCATGCTCCGGTCTAATTTTCCACAGAGCCATTTTCAATTCTCTCAGCTCACTAACCAGCTTCCTCTGAACGCTGTCCTAGAGAGATTGTAATATTCAACACATACAGATCCTAACTGAGAGCAGTCATCACTCTGAAGAACAGGTGCTAAGAATGAAGTAGACATTCACAATTACTTGAGAAATGAGGAATAAAGCGACATCTTAAAGTAATTACTGGTATAGCTGCCAAGATTTCCCAATGTAAACAGATTTTGACCTAAACATCATGGTATAGTACCTAAACCACAGTACCTACAGCTGCCCAAATTTTCTAATAGGAGTTCCATTAAAAAAATTTCAATTTGTTGATATTCCTTCATAGGTGCTCATTTGAGTTTGCATACACTCCCTGTAAAAAACCTTATACAGAACTCCCAGCATTTTACAATTTTTACTACAATTTAGGTTAAATCTCTTCCTTATTGTGAAGACCAAGGGCAGTATCTAAAGATAAAATTGCAAAAGACTGATTTAAACTTTCAAAATTCTCTAAGGACCAAGTCTTATCATCTAAGCATGTGCATTTCTTAAGGATTTATAGATCTGACATGCATACATAAGTAAAAAAGGGAAGTTTATTCTTATTTTTTAATATAAAACCCTTCATTTTATATTTTCAAGCTTAGTACTATCCTAATTCTTAACCATCACCTGGCCCAGATTGTTTCAACATCAATATAAAAATGTAATTAACAATATAACTGCTTTTAATAACCCAACTAACAAATCTTCTCTGAATCAAAATAAACTCGCAATAACTGATTTCAAGACCCCATACAAACTGCAGCTCTCTTACACTTCCTCAACCAATACTATTCTTTTTTTATATATGTAAAGATATTAACAAGTTTTATGTCACATATAAAAATTTATATAGAAAATATAATGGAAGAATATACTGCATTCATACTGGCATCACAAAACAAAAAGTAGTGTGAAACAGAAATAAAAAAGATAAAGGACAGGGCATCCCTGTGGCATAAGGGGTTAAGTCTCAGTACTATGAAGCCATGAGCCACATAAGTTGGATACCTGGCCAGGGAGCAACCCACATGGCGCAGCGACCTGTCCTATCTCACCCGCTGCTCCCCTCAGCAGTGTATTTCAGTGGGTCCACCTGTTTTGTTCCCCACTTTGTCTCTGGTGAATCCTCTCATAACCCACCGCCCCCCAATCCTACAACTCTGCCTACAACCCAGCTCTTTGTATGCATAAATAAACAAATCTTTTAAAAAAAGATAAAGGAACTTTTGAAAGAAAACTATGAAACTGTCATGAAAGAAGTCTTGAGTAAATGATTTGCTTTGAGATACAATTATCTCTCATACTTTAATCTTTTCCAAGACAACAGATGAGTTACTACAGTCCTTTTATTATTTGCACAGAACCGTACTGAATGGGGACACCCTAACTATGCCAGCTGCAAATGGTAGATATTAGACTGCTGCTAATTTTTCTGTATTGAAAACAATGGTACAAAAGCTGCTCATACATACATTTCTTTATATTCAACGTACTTAATACCTTTCTAGAAATGTAATGTCTAGCTCAAAAAGTCTAACATGGAAATATTTTGGCAAATACTGTCAAAATTGTCTTCCAAGAAAGGTTGACCAATATATACTCCTACCAACCATGCTACAGCTTATTTTTTCCACATTCCCACCAACACTGAGTTATTGGTCTCTTAAAATTTTTTTTCCCAATCTACTAGATTCCTCCCCAATATATTTTCCCCAAAATATCTGCTTTTCCTTCCACATACTAGTTTGTCTTTATTAAAAAATTAATAAAAAGCCTCGTAGACAATGTTTATATATTCCGGACACTGACCTTTTGTTACTACACTGCAAATAATTTGGTCCAGTTTTTTTTCTTTTTCTTTCGTGGCTTGTATAGACATTTTACTTCTGGGTTTCACTCCTAATTTTAAAAAGACTGACTCCTACTCTTGTGCCTAGAAGTCAAATTCTCAATCTAAATGTAGCAACCCATGACTCCAATGCCAATCAATACTATTCTATGCAAAGTTCAGTAATCTTCATCATTCAGGAGAGAACCCACAAACACTGCTAAATTTTTAACATGACATTTGCTACAGTGAACTAACTTTCTAAATTCCCTGCTCCCATAAAATTTTTCTAGATTTGTAGCAAATTTACAATTAATTATTTAGTAAATTCTCAGTTCAATCTTACTGCCTGTAGTTACCTTAATAAGCCCTTCTCCCCAAAATGTTCTAGTTACCTGGGTTTGCCCAATATAATCAACCTTATGCCCCTAAGATTAAAAGGATACCTCAAAAGTTCAAAAATATAAACCCATTACAAGTCTTCTTTTTTATATTTTAACAATGCATCATTCCTTAGTACAAATAACAAGTTCAACTTCTCACATATAAGAATTCTAATACTTTAAGCACCCAAAAAGTGCTTTTACAAAACAAATAACAAAAGGACTGACTAAAACACTTTACCAGCATTTTATCATCCATTTAATGTTGATGAAATAAAGTATCTAAATATTTTAAGCTGCTTTATTTTTTATTTATTAAAGAATTGTATTTTACCCATCACAAATACTGCCTTAAAATTGTATTTTCATGGGTAAAACTATTAATAATCATATTATAATGAAAATTAAAACATTTTTTAAGGAAGGAGAATGAAAAAACTAGTCTTATTATTATAATGGAAATAAATTCATTTTCCCACACAAGATAAAGTATTACTCTGGGATTTGGACGAGGCTGTTTTATCTAACTCCACAATAGAGAACAAATCTCACTGAATAAATAGTATTGTTAAAATTTTGGTTTGAGCACATAGACAAAACTCATTTTTGATTGCTGAATTTTCTCCAGATGAGATAAATAACTCAATGAAGAAATGTCTGGGTTCTTATGATCCCACAATGCACCCCAACTGGAGCTGTCACAAGAGAAAAAGAAACAGATAGTCAAAGACCATTATGCAAAAAGAACAGGAGACAAGACTTTTCACTATTCCCAAAGCATCTCCTGTAGGGACTACAGTGAGGACCTTAAATTACGAAGGTCTACACCTTCCCAACTCAAAATGCTGGCAAACCTGGGGCAATGAAAAGGATTGGGATGGGAATAATTAAATGGACAATTTAATTGGTATGTCTCCAAAACAACCAATAGGTCCTAGTCTACTGACTGGTGATCAATATTCACCTTAATTAATGCTTATGAGTTTGAGGACAAAATAAGCCTACACTTTCCAACTATGCAAAAGGCAAACAGCTGGTTACTAGCCTATTGCTATAAAAACAAAGCCTACCATTTTTTTAAGGCGGTTTACCATGTCCCACAGGTTCCTCAATCCTCAACCAAAAACATCCTTCCTCTCTTTCCCCAATCAGTTGCTGCTCCTCCTGGATTGATTACTACAAAACTTTACCAATACTCATCTAATCTTCCAACATGTTTTCTAACTAGTGATTCACTATTAAAAACAAACCAACAGCATCTTTCCATTTCTTTC